AATTGCCAAGCTTGCCTTCCACGCAAAGGAGAATCCCAGCCGGACACGGGACGAAGTCTTCAATCTTCTACCTTCATAGTCCAACAGTCCGGCTGTCCGAGGACCCCATAATCCAGGAGTTCCTCACCTGGTCCTCCTCACGGACGACGAGCGGGGGCGGCGACACGCCGCGGTCGACCTCGCGCATGCCATGTCGCCTCACCTCCTCGTGCTCGAAGGCGAACCATCTCACCCAGTTGGGCGAGTCGGTTGCTTAGGCGGGGTCGCGGCGCTGCTCCGGCGTCAGGAGCGCCCGCCGCCGCGGCACCTCCTCCGCGTGCGCCCTAGCCGACCGCGGCGCCGTCGGCACTAGGATCCTCTCCGGATCCAGGTGCCAGTCATGCAACAGGGTGGCGTCGAGTTACAGGAGAGGCACGCGGTGCTGCCAGTGCCACTCCGTCTGGTTCACTGGCACGTTGACACGCTGCCTCTGCCGACGAGCCGGCGCCGGCGGAGGCAGGAGGAACTCTAAGGGGAAAGAGACGATGGGGGCCTTGCCCTTGGCCTTGCTGCTGCTGGTGCCGGAGAAGAGCCCCATCTCGCTGTGGTGCTGGTGGCTAGGGTTTGCCGGCGACGGGGGAGCAGAGCGTGCTAGATGTGGACGGCGATCTGGATGAGGACGGCCCTGCCGCACGGTCGGCTTAAAAAAGGACGACCGCCATCGCTGACGCGTGGGCCCGATGTCATAAATTAAGCTGACCAGGATGGCCGCGGACGGTTGGACGACCGCTAGGTGGGGATGCGGCGGACACCGAGAAGGCGCGCATGGCGTCTGTTCCGCGTCCGCGCCGACGCATTTGGGGGCGCAAATTTGGGCCGCAAATGCGTCGGAGCGGACGCGAAGTGGACACGATTTGGGTTTGGGTCGGCGCGTTGGGCCTCCTCTATTGTCCACGCCGACCCAAACAGACATCGAGGGACGAAATGCGTCGCCCCATTGGAGTTGCTCTAAGAAAGTTGTTAGAGATACGACAGTCAATAGAGAACGAAGAAGATCAAATCAACACATAGGGACACAAGATTTAAACATGGAAAACCTCATCAGCGAGAAGGGAAAAAAACAATGGGCTCTAGTTAGTCAAACTTCACTATATCGGGAGAGGTTACCAATGTCGGAGATTTACATCGATTTTTTTAAGAAATTGACGGTGGGAGAGAACTCCCACTGTTTTTCATATATCTATATAAATGGGGTGTTTACATAGACATATCCTACATACATATCACCCCCACTCCTGGTTGGTGAAGTCACCAGGGAGGTGGGGCAGCTACTCCATACAAACTGGGAGGCAGTAGGCTAACCGTATGTTACAAAAATAAAATGACACAGAGAAGTGACTCAACCAAGCGTGTCACAATATGAGAGCAGGGCAGTCCTACGTCGATGGTCTTATCCGTGCGGCTCTTATAAAGAAGTTTGGATTTTTTAACACCTGTGGACTATGCCACCCCACTGGGTGGCAGTGCGACCCCATGTTATCCACGTTCAATGCATGATTCGTGATCCGTGCAAACACTATGCCATCATCATTACTTTATCGAGGTTCTGTTAATGAAGCATGCTAATGATCACACTAATACGATTCTAGTAGAGTATGTATTAGACTAGGGGTCGAAATATTAAGTCATGAATACTTAACCAAAAAGATTCCCTAATAGTATAAAAAGTAGTATAACTTACTAAATTTCTATAATAGTACAAGAAAATTGGTTGGTGATTAAAACTTATATTCCTAAAAGAAGTTTCCCATGAACTCAGAAAAGATTCCTCAAAAAAGATTCGTGCGTATACACATGTATCAAGATTTAACCCTGTTAATACTTAGTGACATGAACTCATCTAAGTGCAATTAGAAAAATGAAAGCCTAATCAGTGGCAGACCTAAAAGATGGTACACAGATCTCAAAGCCAGATCAGACGGAAGCCAGAGGGGCCCGCTATGGCCCAAGCCTCTCGGCGATGGGCCTCCACTCTGCTTTGTCAAAAGTTATCCTTTATACTTTATATGAATTTGTATCTTATCTTAACAAGAAGGTTCTAGGGTTGTAATCATATTGGGAATGTACTGGTACCTTTTATCCATTGTATGCCCTGTACCTTTCGATTCCAGTCATGTAGTTCTTGGTAATTTTCATCAGTTCATCTTGGAATTTGTAGAATGTTCTTCTGTTGTATAGTCTACCTGCTTGTCGTTCTAGTGCATAGTCTGACAACCAAGAGGGCATGTGTTTCTAGTAAGCGAGTCATTTTTCCTTTGGTTCCCCTCTATTGTTTCCATGACTCTAATGAATTCTGACATGAAGCATATAAACTGAATGTTAATCCAACATTTTCTCTGAACACTGAGTTAGTTCCTTCACTTCTTGCAGTTGTCTGAACGAATGAATATGAAAGGATCGTGTAATATACAGATGGAAATTTTCTCCTAATTTTCCACATTTCTTTGAAATACTTTTCTTCTTGCACTTGATATTTATCCATCATTTGGGGTTAGCGAATTTCAAATTCTGCAACTGCCTGAGAGTTTATTATGATGTCAAAAAAATTCAGCATGTAGCCCTTGTCTTGTTGCAAATAATCTCCTTGTCCTATCTTGTGATTTTCTTAGAATGTGGAATAAACTATTTGTGTTTTTACAAGAGGAAATTTTTTATCACTGCTGCTTTCATTGCTCTATCTTGGCCTTTGATAACCAAAATTGCTGCTTTTCCGGACATGCACTACATAAATTTCTCAAACAACAACTTTGAATGTTCCTATGTTTTCATTCTGCGACCGACCACATGCAAACAAGCAGTTGTCCCCATGTCCATTGTGCCTACAAATGGACCAAATTTGAACTCGTATTTATTTGGCTTGTACATCGTATCAAACTCACATAGACTCCATATTGTTGATAATTATTCCTGTTCCATATTCCCAAAACATGTTTCTTGCCTTCCCAGTTTCATCCATATCATATGTGTAATAGAACATAGGGTCTTCTGCCGGTTTATGTTAAAAGTATTGTTGAACCTGCATCATGTCATTCAGGCCTCATTCTCTTCTTACCTTTGTTCTTTCGTTGTTGACATATTTAGATGTGTCTGGTAGATCCTTCAGTGATCCCCGCATGAGTGACAGTACTACAATATCTTTCTGTTTGGGATATTTATAGAGTTGCATGTCCTTATCATTGATTTTTCATCTAATGTCATGAACTTGTGTGACCTTACAAATCTACTTTCTCCAGGCGAACTCAACTCATGGTTGTGGTCTACTATGATTCTGTTACATTTCCTACCCCATTTATTCTTGTAATTATCATCTCGGGTTCTGCTGCTTTTTCTTCCTCTTGCTTTTCCCTTCAATTTTATGATTTTTTTGACTTTCTTAATCTTTCTCTGCCTTTCTCTTCATGTCAATGGCCGCGACTGCCGACTGGGGCGATATGAGCTATGCAGAAGAAGAGGAGGGCCTGGGGAAGAACAGGGGGCCATGGGGATCAAAACTAACGGGTTGAAGGATCCCACCTTCTCTACTGGAATCGTGTTATATGCCGAGTGCCACGGACACTTCGCAAAGGGCCAAAAACCGCCGGAGAGTTGCATTCGGCAAAAGCCACCCGACGTACACCTCTCAGGCAAACAGGAATTTACCGAGAGCCAGGACATGTGCACTCGGCAAAGAGTTTGCCGAGAGCCAAACAGTACAACTCGGCAAAATAAAGTAGCTAATGGACAACAGACGGGGACGGCGGTTGCCACTTGGCGCGTCTTTGCCAAGAGCTACTCTCGGCAAACATAGCCAATAGGAAAGCGCCACGTGTCCGCTCCTGACATGTGGGTCCATAATAACATGCCGAGGGCCATCTTTGCCGAGAGCCACTCTCGGCAAATAAAGCCAATAGGAAAGCGCCACGTGTCATCTCCTGACATGCGGGTCCACAGTAACATGCCGAGGGCCATTGGCCGAGAGCCACTCTCGGCAAACGAAGCCAATAGAAAAGCGCCACGTGTCAGCTCCTGACATGTGGGTCCACAATAACAATGCCGAGGGCAATCTTTGCCGAGAGCCACTCTCGACAAACAGATCCAATAGGAAAGCGCCACGTGTCAGCTCCTGGCATGTGGGTCCGGTTTTTGCCCGGCTTGGTTTTTGTGTTCCTAGAATCATCGACTAATAAAGATAAACGCCGAATTCAGTCACCTTTTCTTCCACTTTTCCTTTTGTTTTCTTTGTCGACCCTTTTTCTTTAACACTTCTTTGCTGACCCTTGGTTGCTGATGGGACGAATCAAATTCAGCGTGACTGAAACTAAAGAATTTTTTTAGATACCTGACGCATGGGTGCTCTTATTTTTTGAACTTATTGTTCCTCCAAGAGTAGATTACCTCGGATCCGGTAGCAATTTTCGTTCAACCTCCAATATTAGGATGTGATGGCCACAGGCTCGCTGAAAGTTGCCTTTCTATCTGCCCGGACATAAGGGCATGTACAATGGTTCTATCTTAACAATGCCACGTAGGATAAATGATGAGGTGGAGGAGAGAGAAATCATAAGAAAAGGCTTGTCTTCTCTTAATTAAGAGAAGGCAAAAGATGATCTTTTAGCACAACATGTCTCACCATGCTTTTAGAATTAATTATTTATTGAAGATAAGGCTAAAAGATGACCCACTATAGACATATTTTTTTGTCATCTCTAAATTACATGCAAGATTTAAGATAAGACCGCCTTATCAACCATTGTACATTGCCATAAGAAATCACAGAAAAGTTCATCAACACACCTAACCTTGTAAAGTAGTAACCTCATTATCACCGCAGATCAGGAAAACCAGAACTCACTCGAGCGATAACCCACACTCTCAAACAAGAGAGGCAGAGAGTACCCGTTACCCAACCACTACAAATCCTACTCAAACCAGGCAGCAACGCGAATACACTTCGAGAAGCGGAGGACGCACGCACCACGACAATGGCAGAGGAGCCCCCGCCGGGGAGTAGGCCGAAGCCGCCCATGTCGCGCATCACGCGTCTCTCCCTCAGGGCCGTGGACTACGTCGCCGACGCCACCCGCCGCGCCGACGGCACCATGAACCGCCGCGTGCTCTCCCTCCTGGACCCGCGCGTCCCGGCCTTCTCCTCCCCGTGCCGCGGCGTCGCCTCCCGCGACGTCGTCATCGACCCGACCCTCCGCATTCGCGCCCGCCTCTTCCACCCAGCGAGACCCGCCGGCGACGCCAAGGGAGCGCCTCTCCCCGTGATCGTCTTCTTCCACGGCGGCGGGTTCGCGTTCCTCTCCGCGGCGTCACTGGCCTACGACGCCGCGTGCCGACGCATCGCGAGGTACGCCTCCGCGGCCGTGCTCTCCGTCGATTACCGCCGCGCCCCGGAGCACCGGTTCCCCGCGCCCTACGACGACGGCCTCGCCGCGCTCCGCTTTCTCGACGACCCGAATAACCACCCGGCGGACGTCCCGCTCCAGACCTCCCGCTGCTACCTCGCCGGGGACAGCGCGGGCGGCAACATCGCGCACCACGTCGCCAGGCGCTACGCCGCGGACGTACCTGCGTTCAAGAACGTCCGCCTCGCCGGCGTCATCGCCATCCAGCCCTTCTTCGGCGGCGAGGAGCGCACGCCCTCCGAGTTCCGCCTTGACGGCGCGCCGATCGTGTCCGTCTCCCGCACCGACTGGATGTGGCGCGCGTTCCTCCCGGACGGCGCTGACCGCACTCACGAGGCTGCGTGCTTCACCTCCCCTCGGGCAGCCGCTGGCGTGGACAGCCCGGCGTTCCCGCCGGTGCTGCTCGTCATCGGCGGCTATGACCCGCTGCAGGACTGGCAGAGGCGGTACTGCGAGGTGCTGAAGGACAGCGGCAAGGACGTGAGGGTGTTGGAGTACCCGGACGGCATTCACGCGTTCTTCCTCTTCCCTGGGTTCGATGACGCGCGCAACCTCATGACACGCATCGCCGAGTTCGTCGGCGAGAGCGACGATGGCGGCAGCGATTAACCCTTATTCCACGCCTGCTCGCTTGGTTGGTTGGGACTTGGGAACCTGGATGCCGTGTCGGATGCGTAGTTTGGTACTTCTGGTTGCGACATTCTTTTGGTTTTGCTGTGGTCGCGTGGTTGGTTAAGTATGGCATGTGTTTGATGATTATTAGTCATACTTTTGGTAAGTTTGGCATGAATGATGAACCGGATAAATATTGGAGTAAAACTTGATTAGGTATCGTGCTGTAATTCTGTGATGGAAACGGTGACGGGGACATGAATGACACCTCAAACACCATCATCATGGTCGCTCCCGCGACCGCGAGCGACAGGGAAACCCTAGCCGCCGCCGCACCTAGCCTCGTCGCCATTGGAGCTCGCTAGCAGGCAAAGCCCCAGCGGCGGCGGGGGGCCTCCTCTCCTCTCCGGGCGGTGGTGGGCGGCGCGGGACGGCCTTCTCGTTCATGGACGCGGCGCTTTGTGGGCCCTCTTTGGCGGCAGGGCTCGGACAGTCCGGCGACCCTCGCCGGTGGACGGGTGGACGTTGTTGCCCCACGTGGAGCTCTCTGGAAGCCATCGCGGGGCGTCAGGGTGACGTTTGTGGATGTTGCAAGAGGGAAGGGTGGGCTCTCTACACGTCACCGGTGCAGGGGCGCCGGTCAGAATATGCTCCTCTCCTCTCCTCCCCACTTCCCTTGCCTAGTGCTTCCGGGCTCTAGGTCGAGCTATTCAGGGCAGGCTGGTCACGAGTGGCTCTGTCTGTGCTAGAGATTTGTTGGCTAGTTCCAAGCCCGTACCTTTGTTGGTCTCCGGAGTGTTGGGATGCAGGGCGACGACCTTGGTGGCAGGAGCGACGTGCTTATGGGCAGAGCTCACGGCTCAGGTGCAGGCTAATCCATGCATGCGTCGGTAGCATGGCGGCCGGTGCTTGTCGATTGGTGGCGGTGATGTGGCTTCTGTCCCTGGGACTGGCCGCAACCTGTTCGGAGGCGGAGTGTGTTGACCTGGATGAAAACCCTGCCTGGCATGTCCAGGTCGATGGAGGCGGCGCCCTAGGACACCGTCATCTTCTTGAAGTCTCCGTTGAGGTTGCTCAATGTCCTCCAAGGTCAACCGAATGAAAATATTGATCCTCTGGATCAAGTCGTGGCGGCACTCCGATAGCGTATCCTTCTTGAAGGCACCACCTTAGGGTTCACAGATCTCTTCTCGATGGCTTGTTCCTAGTTGACTAGTCCCTCGACTTCGTAGTGATGCCTAGTGTTTTTTTGGAGTTATTTTGGAAGTGTTGGCTGTTGGTGTCAAAACCGGCGGATCTCGGGTAGGGGGTCTCGGACTGTGCGTCTAAGGTTGATGGTAACAGGAGGCGGGGGACACGATGTTTACCCAGGTTCGGGCCCTCTCTATGGAGGTAATACCCTACTTCCTGCTTGATTGATCTCTATGAATATGAGTATTACAAGAGTTGATCTACCACGAGATCATCATGGCTAAAATCCTAGAAGTCTAGCCTGTATGAGTATGATTGCCTCTACGGACTAAGCCCTCCGGTTTATATAGACACCGAAGGGGACTAGGGTTGTATAAAGTCAGTTACAGAGAAAGGAATCTTCATATCCGAACGTCAAGCTTGCCTTCCACGCCAAGGAGAGTCCCATCCGGACACGGGAAGAAGTCTTCGGTCTTGTATCTTCATAGCCCATCAGTCCGGCCCACGTCACATAGACCGGACGGCCGAGGACCCCTTAATCCAGGACTCCCTCATTAGCCCCTGAAGTAGACTTCAATGACGAGGTGTCCGGCGCGCAGATTGTCTTCGGCATTGCAAGGCGGTTTCCTTCTCCGAATACTCCAAAAATAGTCTTTGAACACAAGAATCGTGTCCGGCTCTGCAAAGCAAATCCCACACACAACCGTAGAGAGTATAATATTTCACGAGTCCAATCCGCTGACAATTTTTTGTAGCGGGACATCACGTCACCGCTTGGACATTGTTTCGAACCGTTTTTAGCCTGCCGCTCCATATTTCGAGCCGCAGTTTCATTGACATGTCTTGTCAAAGCTGAGATCATGTCCCCTTATTACGGGATTCTCATCAATACGGGCGTGGGTAACCCAACCGTTCTGTTGGCATGATTCCTTGGGAATAGGTAGGTTTTAAGGCCTAGGAGGGGGCGTTTGATATTCATCGCCTTTATAAAGGGGCTAAGACCCATCTTTTGTCCTTTACGCCATCCCTTTCCTCCACCTCTCCCACCTCGAGCTCCAGGGCCCAAGGTTCAACTTAATCGCTTCACGCTTCCCAGTCATGTCCGGACCCATCCCTCAAGGCCAGTGGGTGGTGATACGTCTCCAACGTATCTATAATTTATGAAGCATTCATGCTATTTTATTATCAGTTTTGAATGATTATGGGCTTTATTATACACTTATATATTATTTTTGGGACTAACCTATTAACTGGAGGCCCAACCCATATTGTTGCTTTCTTGCATATTTCAGTGTTTCGAAAAAAAGGAATATCAAACGGAGTCCAAACGGAATGAAACCTTCGGGAGCGTGATTTTTGGAACGAACATGATCCAGGAGACTTGGAGTTCAAGTCAACGAAGCTTCGAGGTGGCCATGAGGGTGGGGCCGCCCCCCTTCTAGGCGCGCCCCCTGTCTCATGGACCGACTTCTTTCACCTATATATGTCCATATACCCCGAAAAACATCAAAACAGAAGATAGATCGGGAGTTCCGTTGCTGCATGCCTCTGTAGCCACCAAAAACCAATCGGGACCCTGTTCTGGCACCCTGCCGGAGGGGGGATCCCTCACCGGTGGCCATCTTCACCATCCCGGCGCTCTCCATGATGAGGAGGGAGTAGTTCACCCTCGGGGCTCAGGGTATGTACCAGTAGCTATGTGTTTGATCTCTCTCTCTCTCCCTCTCTCTCCCGTGTTCTCTCTATGGCACGATCTTGATGTATCGCGAGCTTTGCTATTATAGTTGGATCTTATGATGTTTCTCCCCCTCTACTCTCTTGTAATGAATTGAGGTTTCCCTTTGAAGTTATCTTGTTGGATTGAGTCTTTAAGGATTTGAGAACACTTGATGTTTGTCTTGTCGTGCTTATCAGTGGTGACAATGGGATATTCACATGATCTACTTGATGTATGTTTTGGTGATCAACTTGCGGGTTCCACCCATGAACCTATGGATAGGGGTTGGCACACGTTTTCGTTTTGACTCTTCGGTAGAAACTTTGGGGCACTCTTTGAAGTACTTTGTATTGGTTGAATAGATGAATCTGAGATTGTGTGATGCATATCGTATAATCATGCCCATGGATACTTGAGGTGACAATGGAGTATCTAGGTGACATTAGGGTTTTGGTTGATTTGTGTCTTAAGGTGTTATTCTAGTACGAACTCTATGATAGATTGAACGGAAAGAATAGCTTCATGTTATTTTACTACGGACTCTTGAATAGATAGATCAAAAAGGATAACTTTGAGGTGGTTTCATACCCTACCATAATCTCTTCGTTTGTTCTCCGCTATTAGGGGATTTGGAGTGACTCTTTGTTGCATGTTGAGGGATAGTTATATGATCCAGTTATGTTATTATTGTTGACAGAACTTGCACTAGTGAAAGTATGAACCTTAGGCCTTGTTTCCTAGCATTGCAATACCGTTTACGCTCACTTTTGTTACTTGCTACCTTGCTGTTTTTATAATTTCAGATTACAAATACCTTTATCTACCATCCATATTGCACTTGTATCACCATCTCTTCGCTGAATTAGTGCACATATACAATTTACCATTGTATTGGGTGTGTTGGGGACACAAGAAACTCTTTGTTATTTGGTTGCAGGGTTGCTTGAGAGAGACCATCTTCATCCTACGCCTCCCACGGATTGATAAACCTTAGGTCATCCACTTGAGGGAAATTTGCTACTATCCTACAAACCTCTGCACTTGGAGGCCCAACAATGTCTACAAGAAGAAGGTTGTGTAGTAGACATCAAGCTCATTTCTGGCTCCGTTGCTGGGAGGTGAGTGCTTGAAGGTAACGAGGATGAGCTTTCTATTCAACCAATCTCATCAATAAGGAGCTCAAAGAAGAGGGTTGAACCCACACATAATGTGAAGAAGAAAAGGAAGAGAAGGAGCACCAAAGGTAAAAAGGTATCCTTCCCAAATGATGTTGCTCCTACTACTCATTGTGATGATGCTAATTGCTATACTATTGATGCTATCCTTACTATTAATGATGAGAATGATTATGCTTATGATATGAAAAGGCCCAAGCTTGGGGAAGCTATGTTTGATGGGGATGAAATATTTAAGAATATATTTTCTAAAATTAATGTTTGTCCCAAGCTTGGGGATGCTACGTTTAATGAAGATGATATTTTTAGCCTCCCAAGTTTTGATATGCAAAGTTGTTATGATGATAGCATGCCTCTTGCTTATGATTATATTGATGAAAGTGGGTTTGGAAGAGTGTGAACTTTAGGAAGTAATGATCCCACTATTTTGGAGGATGTTGAATCTTATTGTGATAAATATGAAAGTGTATTTGGAAGAGTGTCAACTTTATTTAGTGATGATTCCACTATCTTGGAAGAGGTTTCAATCGATTATGATGAGAACAAAGTTGCTACTTATGATGTTTATTGTGATGAAACTTATGCTATAAAAAGTAGTGATGATTATATTTATACAACTTGTCATGATTATGATCACCCTTTTCCTGAACATTACTCTTTTAATGTGGAAACAATTTATAGTATTCAAGTCTCTTATGATACTCCCACCATTCCGAATGAGAAGAATTTTGCTTATGAGGAGAGTAGTAAATTTTCTATGCTTGTAGATCATGAAAAGAATGCTTTAGGTGCTGGTTATAATGTTAAATTCATTCATGATGCTACTGAAAATTATTATGCGTGAGTAACATATGCTTGTAGGAATTGCAATAATATCAAGTTTCCTCTCTATGTGCTTAAAATTTTGAAGTTAT